TCACCTCCAAATGTTCATTATAGAAAAGTTCCAGTCCAGCCTCACATCTGTACTAAAGTGTTATACTGCCTGATGGCTCATTTGCCTTCACTGCGAGATAAATCATTCACTTGGGAAGACTCTACAGAAAGAAATCTTTGAAGGCATATTAACATGGTTGCTCTCTTTATTCACTGTATTACTAAGCTATAGCTGTGGTTTAAAATGAAGCAGACATAGTTTTATTTAATACAAAACTTATTATCTGGCCATATGAAAGATTGTGCTACATTTTGTGATTTGAGGGAGTTTTATTCTTCAATGCCATTTGATTTTATTTGATTTGATTAAGGCATGTTGCTAAATATGATGACTGTAGATAAAATATTCTTTTCTGAAGAATACTCTGTTTACAAGGTTTTCAGTAAAATCAGGGATATTATTTCAGACACTATGGACGGTTTTGTTTTCAACATGTCTCGAGGCAAAAAAGACTAAGGATATATAGCAAAATTTAAATGTAAAATTGGTAGTAAATTATATTTACTGGAAATGGTTTATGAAATATAGTTAAATTTGGTTAGATTTCAATAAGTTGTTTTATTGAATTATTTCATCCAATAAAAATTTTAAGCTTTGTTAAAAGACAATGTAGGATTGTTTCATTATTTTTTCTTAACATGGTAGCTTGTAAAATATCATTCTAAAATACATCTCTTAGATCTGTGTTCATATTTTCATGGTTACACATGCCAAGCTCTTAGCACCTTCAGTCCTTTAAAATTCTGTTTACAGGCTAACTTCTGACACTCCCCTTCCTTTTCTTTTCTTTTGTAAGTCTGCCCTGAAGCCATCATTGCCTTGCTTACAAAAGCACTGCATTTTGTGACAGTCTGTGTGACAAAAGAATAGAAACATGAAAATTACCAAAATATATCCTGGATTTTGGTATCTTGGGCATATATACATTGTGTGAACCTGTGAGCACTGTTACATCCTGTCACCATGGATTACACACTGAGCTCTCCTTCGAAGGAAAATTGTTGGATGTGATCATTGTAATGGTGCTTTCCCAAGAAAATCGGTTCCTGCCACTAAAGAAAGAGATTCCCCAGTAATGTTTTCCATGGGAAGGTATCCTGCTATGGGGACTGTATGAAGCCATTAATATGGCTTTACAAATTGAAGCATGTTCTCAGATTTTTATGCATTAAGTGCAACACTTTTCCTAGCAGCCTTTGCATTAGCACACTTTGCACTCTCTGCTGCCATCAGTCACCTTGATAGCAAATGCTTGCTATTCATGTGATGAAGTAAAAATTTCTTTTATTGTGCTCTGTTATGTCTCTTGACATAATGATCCACATTCATCCTTTGTGCATCTGTAATGGTTACACTGGAGGCCTATTCACACACAATAGAAGAGACTTCCTGAGATGCTACAGATTTTCCTATATGATTTAGGATTCGTTTGTCATTTAGCCAGAGACTTCGGTACAGTGCAGCTAGGCTGTACCACCTTCTGCAGAGATATGTGCCTAAATGAGCCAGCTCAAGTCTCATTTCTAGGAAAGAGAGCTGATAGAGACAGTTGAAATGTTTTCCTAAAAGTTCTAGCCTTGCCTACATAGTTTTGCACTTCTCTTTGTTAAAACTTTTGGCATGAGATTGGATTGGCTCTACTTACAGAGAGAGGAGGGCAATGAATGATAAAGAAGACTGAAAAGTGCAAGTATTACTAAAAGCTGCTCCAGTCTCATGTGAATGAAGTCTCATGCTGAATCACTTTCATATAACAGCATGACTCCTTTGGGCATACACCCTTGTAAGATATTCAGATGAAAAATAGCTGAACTTTTCACTTTCTGGATATCAGCTTTGGATTTTTAGATAGGTTAAAGCGCATACTAAAATTTTTTTTCAAAATTCTCAGGTGCAGTACCTGCTTGATTAAAGTGCCCAAGTAAAGCTATCTTATCACTCACTCACATAGTCCTAAAACACACAAATACTTGCAAGTAATATGATTACTTTCTTTGCTTAAATTTTTGGTTTCCATAACAAAATTCACTAATGCAACCAGTTCCAGGCTTCAAGTAGGTAAAAATACTTTGCTAGAGACAGATAAAGAAACCTGTTTTGGTTTACTATTTTAGTGCACAGTTGGTTTAATGTAGATGTGTGTCACAAGTAATCAGCTTAAAGTTTAGGAAATACTTAGTACAGCTACTCTCACATATTTATAAGGTGATGTAAATCTTTCAAGGCCATCTGATAATGTGATATTTAAACCAACTTAAAATGAAACCTCATGAGAAAAAACTTACCTTGTAAGATAGAAAATTAAAACTTTGAGAACAAAACCAAAAGGCTGAACTTATTTTTCATTTGATCTTGAATTAGGCATGGAAATGGCTTGGGGGAAAAATCTCCATTTCTTGTCTTCTCTTAGGGTTTGAAGGGTTGTAGGGGCTATGCAGTTACATGGGTAATAGGTGCTATGGATGGTTGTATATAATCTGAAGGGACAATGCAGTTCTCAAATGAGTCACCCACAGCGACCATTCTTACCTATGAGATGGAGAAATGAAGTTCTGATACACAAGTCTTATAAAAGTTTACAGGGGTTATGTGGGCATCAATGTCAATGCTCCTCACCATTGTACATTAAGGCTCGTGATTTCTTTGTACATTGAATACTTACAATTTCTGAACTGGCCCTCTATAAGGTATCCACAACCTGTGCCTCTGAAGATTTCAGTAGAGCATGTGGTATTGTATGCAGATTTTTTTTTCTTGTTCAGGGGAGTGTTTTATTTCTATGATTGACAAAATCCTAAAGAAAAACATGCTAATTTCCAGGGCATGCATAATTATTAAACAAACTGCTGGCATGTTGACAAGGATGCTAGATAAATAAAAGTACTTTTGAGAGCATCCTTGTTCGGTGACAGCAGTCAAATTGAATTTAATAACTTCATTTTGATAGTTGGTAATAATGTTGCCTCAGAAGCCTGTTTGGCCCTATGTACTTATCTTCTGAAACCATAGCAATTCCTAAGAAAAATAGAGAGAAGCAGAGGCAGAAACAGGAAACTAAGGTCCTGGGGTGGTGCAGTGTGTACACTTGCTTGTCCTCATTCCCACAGGCAGAGCCTGGCCTTGCTGCTGCTGGTGTACTCAGTAGTTGGAAATGGAAGTAAATAGGGAGTATCTCACAGGCTGCTGCCAAATGGAGACACGAGGCAGAGGTTGGACTTCATTAGTTACAGGCCAGTCTGGACTAAAAGCAGCATGATGCTGCCCTGCCCAAAGAGCTGCTCTGGCATAAGGGTTTGCTCTTTAAGACTGGTGCTTCTTCTCCCACCAAGCACACACTTCAGTTTCCTGGTGGGGTTTGATTATTTTGAATTACTTTAAATCGGTTTGCCCCTTTCTGTCTAGTTGCACTGAGCACATAAGCAAGCAGGGACAGGCAGCCTCCTGGCATCCTTTCCTGCTCCTTTTTCCCTGCATCCTTAAACCTATGTGGGAGGCAAAGAGAGAGACCTGTCATTGCTTCTGTATCATGTCCCCTGTGCAGGACTCTCTAGTGTGAGTGGGCCCTTATTTGCTTGAAGTCATTTACAAATGCAGAAAGAAGGAACAGGATATTGGATAAAGCCGTCTTGCACAAATCTTCCCTACACAGAAATCATGTGAAACAGGTCAGGAGTCAAGGGGAATGGTACAACATCTGGCTGCATTTGGCTTCTTCCATCTGCACTCAGCAGGCAGCCCTGGTGCCTTTATCAGAAAATAAGCACCTTCACCCATACCCCATCCTATCCCAGCCCCATTACAACTGCTTCCTGGCAAATCATGTGAATAAAGCAAGATTGCAGTGGTCAGAGTAGAAAATACACATCCTTCAAGTAGTAGGTCTCAGTGTTGCTGCTCTGCACTCCACACCTTTAAATACAAGTTTTACTATATGTTTAACAATATTCTATTGGAGTGATGCCTTTCAGGATACACGAGACTTCATTAGCTTCATGCTAATGCTAATGCACAGAGTTTCTTCTTCAGTTATTTAGGCACTGCGCTGCTCTCCACAGGCATATTGTCAGATTACTCTGATTTTTACTTTTATAAAGCATATTTAAATCTTCTTAGCAAATACTTAGATATTTGAAAGCTTGATCTGAGTGCCTCCCTCTACCCAAAACTTTTGCTACTAATAATAGCGTGGATGCAGAAGTGTTACAGAATTGTCTAGGAGAAGTTTCTTCTCACAGACAGTGTGCTTCTGGGTGCTATTTCAAAAATTGTGGTTGGGTGATGGACTGATTCCTACTACTAACTTGTAAAATAAACTTATAAAATAAATAAAAATATTTATTTGTTTGATTTAAAAATGAAATATAAATTTGCACAAGTTCTGGTTACGAAATCTCTGTCTTTGGACATCATAAAAAATACAGTCTTCCCTAATTTTTTCCTTGAGGATTAAATTAACACCTTGCACATGCCAGATGTAGTAGTGAGATATGTTCTTATATCAGTTCCCACTTACAAATCTGGTTGTGAACTGTCCCAGCAGTTAAAGTTAGTGCTTTAGTTTTCTCTAAAACACTCTCCTATCCACAAATCCCAGACTCAGTTTGGTCATACCTCTATTTTTTCCCCCATGAGACCATCCCCAGCCCATTCCCTATGCAGTGGGGACACTGTGCTTTCCTGCTCGTCCCAAGATATGGGAAAAAAAAATAAAAAATCAAGAAGCCAAGCAGCCGGGAGGAAAACGTGTGGCTGAAGTACTTACAGAGCTGAGGGAGGTGGTAGGGAAGGTGCAGTTTGTCGTCGGGGCTCACTGGAGGATCTTTCTGGACTGATGCTCTTGCCTGCCTTATCTGGGGATAAGTGGAAGCCGTCGCTGTGACAACGCCACCCTCAGGTGTTCTCCTGGAGGTTGGGGAACAGCACCACCGCTCCCTGCCCCACCAGCAGATTCTAATCCTGTTTCCTTCCTCTTCCACAAGTTGCAGGGGCCGAAGGAGAGGCAACAAGATGCGTGGGAGACCAGCAGTGCCTCAAGGCTGAGGCATCATTCCTCCCAGATGACCAAGAGTCACAGATGCTGATGCTCTCAAAGAAGCAAGGGAGGATGTTAAAACTTTGGCACAGAGAGCCAAAAGGTGAGCTGCAGCTACTGCGTCTAGAGCTGCAAAGAAAATCACAGGGGGAGGGACTAAGGCTGATGCCGTCAGGGGCCCAGGGGAAAGTTGAGAATAAAAGTGAAGCAAGAAGGCAGGGCACACATCCAGGAGCATCACATAAGCATAGAAACAGATGGACACTGTCTCCAGCACTGAGGTCCAGTGATGACTGCATTTTTTGTGTATTTATATAGCCACAACTGGTTATATAAGCATGGTGTTTATGGGGCCAGGCAGGGAGTTTTCCATGGCTACCAGTTGTTTGCTAGTGGAGACCAGTCTCTCCTATTTTAGCCCGTGCCTTTGGATGGAACTGTTATTTCAGCTGAGGGAAAGAAATAAAAACATGTCTGACACTGGAAAAACTCTGGAAGAAATACTCTAGTCTGTGGTGAGACTGTGAACTGCCCCTCTCTAAGTATTCATTTGCAACAAAAATGGCTTTGTCTATATAAACTGTGACGGCTCACAGTTGCCGTTCTCTTCTTTTCCCCCACTCAGTGACTGCAATTCACAAGTGCCAGTGTGCACGGCATACTCTCTTTCATAAACAGCATATTGTACAGAAAGCCCAAAGGGGCAAAGTGCTAATTGCCAGCCCTGCAAACTGTGCTACACCCTTGGATCCTTTACATATCCTATGTGGTTCTACAAAATGCCAAGCGTGTCAAATGCTCTAAAGGCACCACCTGAAAGAACTGTGAGCTTTCTTCATTGCTGCCTGGGAGAGACAAGCATGTTCATTACCTTGAAAAGTGTAAGTCACCTGTGCTTATGTCTCAGTGGCCCACCTTTAAAAGCAAGTTCATAAATGCTTAAATTATTCCTGAAAAAATGCAGCAGAGGCTCCTAAGAAATTTTTGGAGAAGATTATTATTTCTAAATTAAAAAAAAACTAACAAAAATCCCCAAACCTCCAAACTCCTTAAATCCCAACCTCGCTTTTTATGAGTTGCCCACCTCCATCATTGTCCAGACCTCTCTGTTGCAGTGAATTTTAAATTAAAAACCTTTAATTGTCACCAAAATGTGTTTTTCTTAGAAACACAATTATTTCATATTTTTTTATGAAGTCAGAAAATCAGAATGAGGTGAATGAAACAAAGTGGTCAAATCAGAAATATATTTTGAAACTCAACTGAAGATTGCCTTTTAATTGTCCTGATTGAAAAAGTCAGTCAGTCATTTATAGCACTAAAGAATTCCCTGAGGACGAGAAAATAATTTCCTGTTCTAGCCACCAAATCCCAAGGTTGCTTTGGGAATTTTACAATATAGGTTTACTCAAAAGGAAAGCAGTCTATCAGCTGTCTCAGCAAGATTACACATCCAACCTTGGTCACCTTTTAGGTTTGTTATCTACCATGATGCCAGGAAGCATTAACATCTCTACAGCACGTCTGTTGCATTATCAGTGTGAAGGAAGATTTACTGCCAGATGTGGTCTTTTAAATGTTTACAATTGTCCTGCTTGTAAGAGGGTTGGGACTCCTGCCATCTTTCTAATCTTCTCTGCACAGTTATTTCCCAAACACAGCCTGGAAAATAGTCTGAGTTTGTAATAAATCTACTCTTTAATCCTCTTCACGTGTACACAAGCGCTCCCATCTTGAGAAAAGTAGTTCTTGGAGATCTACACATGTAGTTAAAGATAAGAACATGTCTAAAAGTTTCCAGGCTAGTGCTTTAGAAGACAAGCAATGCAAAAGGGAAGTAGGAGAAAATCTAACAAAAAATTCAGGTAAATACAACACACACACATATATATATATATATATATATATATATTTATATACACATGCACATATGCACATATGTACATATATGTATGCATGTATATATATTTCACTATAACCTTACTGTGCATTTGTCCTGGATGTGGAACAGAGCATCTGATGCTGCCTGCAGAGGCAAGAATGAGTCTGCTGGAAAGAAGAGAACCAAGATCACTAGAGATCACCAGGTAAGTCATATCACATTACCTTCCCATACTAGAAACCCCTGTTTCTAAAGAGTTAAAGGTGAGCATGATTATCATTACCAGGAAGGCCTGTTGCCTTAAAGATGATGTAGTTGTCACCTCTGTATGTTCCATATGTACTACAGATGGCCATGAAAATCTTACAAAACCAGTACACTAGTAACCTTGTGTATGATCCAAGGCATTTGTACCACTGTGGCTCTGTGGAGGTTTGTTACATTAATTTTACATTAAGGTAAGATTTTACTATCAACTCTGGAACTACTTTCAGATGAGATAAGAGGTGCTGATAAGTTGAAGTGCTATTTTATTTTAACAGAACTTAGTTATCCAAAAACTGTTGATGATTCAGCCTCAAGTCACTTCTCTATGCAGTAGCATGTGTTTACATCCAATATAATACTTCAGGTAAGAAAACTCAGGGCTCACACTCTCCTGATGTGCTTAAGCCCACCTTCAGCCTGTGCTCTTATTGTGTGTGAAAGTGTACTGTGCAGTACATAAAGTTTGTTCCAGATTTATGGTAACTCCTAAGCTGCTGCATGCATGTTCACACCCAAAGTAAATTTATATGTGGAAAATTAAGGAATTGTACCTTGTAAGGAACAATTTATTAGTTTAGTTCCATTATAAATGTTGCCATAGGTATAGAACAGACTACAGTTGATTAAATAATTTACTTTGCAGCCACAGCAGTTTGACCAATAGGTCAGTGGGCTGTGCTGGATTTTTAATCAAACAGATTGCCTCCTGTGCAGTCAACATTTGTCTTTGGCAGTTTCCCTTTAAGTTGTGGAGGTGAAAAGTGCAGAGGATCAAAACCTGCACTCAATACAGCTCACTTTTCACACTTACTATTATAAACATTTACATTTTCCCCATATGTAATTGTATATGCATATAGGGACATTAAATTGCATTTATCACAGACACAAACATAAAGATATATCATATTTTTGAAAAAGAAGGCTTGATGAAAATCATTGCCACATCCTGAAAAACAGAATATTTGTCCCAGGTCCAAAAGGGAAATAATTTGTGTTTATTGTACTGCTTAGTAAAGCCTTTAAGGCTGTAACACTAAGGCTCAGAGGAGTCTGGGTTTGTATCTACCCTGACAGATGTCTCTCATGCAAAGGTCTTTCCTGCTGCCCCTACAAAGGTTAGGGGCATTACAAAGGAAACCTAAAAGTCTGGAAGACAATAGCCCCATTTAGAGTGGCAAAGGAAATTTCTATGTCAAGAATCAGGGTCATGCCCAGATTCCCTGTGCAAAGCCAAAGAGAAAAATCTATTACACTAAACTGACATGAAAATTATAATAGGTTAACCTGTGCTTCAGATTCACATAAAATAATTAAGATTTTCTGATGTATCTAGTTTACAATAAAGTCTTCATTCTTATTTCAGAAGCAACTCAGGAGAAAACATGGAAAGAAAAAGATGTGGCTTTTCATGAGGGAGAAAGATTTTCAAGTTTGAACTCCAGTGCACAATTTTCATTAATCTTTATGTCAGAGGGCTTTGAGAGAGTTAATTTTAGGGAAAGACAGATGTAAAATCCAGCAAATGGCAGATGGTAGTGAAAAACTATATTCCAGGGAGACTTAGAACAAAGTAGTAGCAGATGACTTTTGACCCATGTAATTTATGCTTCTCCTTATATCCATCTTATGCAGTATGGAGCAAGGTGAGAGCTGGGATGAGGTTAAAGCTGGCCTTTACCTCCTAGAGAAATGTCTCTCCCTGTCTTTCCAGGAGCATTAGATCTGTAGAAGTGCTCCTTTTCCCGGAGTTGCTGTTCCTCTAAGTTGTTGCTCTGGTTAATTATGTGCTAAACCAGTGTCGTCCTGTGTATCGATACAAAGGGGTTTGCCTGCTAAAACATTATGTCAAGATTACATAAATTCCAACTCTACATCCAAGGATCTTTTCAAATGGCATCCCAGTCCCCCTGCACTTGGAGCTTAAAATATTAGACAGCTTCTAAAACATCACTGTGTTCACTCTCCTTTTTAACACCTTCCACATGGTCTGCTTTATTTTATTAGACTGAGAATTGTAGATATCTGACACAGTCTGTGAACTTCCCTGGCAAAGAATATTTCTGCATGTGTTATCCAATAAACAATTTATTGAAAGAGAAATAAACTAGACACAATTGAAGCCACACCAAAAGTCTATCAACACAGGACATGAAACAAAGAAGTAAGGAGCAGAGTGATCCACATTAAGAAGGTTTTCAGAGAAACTCAGGGAAGATTAATATTGCCTCCTCTCAACTTCCCTGAGCTTCCAGTTTACTGCAAGCATCTTGAAAAATCCTTACCCACTCTCTGTTCTTCACATTACAGCAGCAGCACAAACATTTTGGTAGTTACTGCCCTGTTATGCAATGAGACTGCATTACTGTGCTGACAAACCTCCAGTTTGTGGGTGACTCAGGTCTTGAGAAGGATTTATGGCTGACTTGTTCAGCATTGCTCAGTCAGTAGCAAGCTGTAAGCTGCACCTTTGCATTTTTCAGTGCTTCCCCTCCATCTCCTGAGGTGTTTTATTTTTTTCCTTACAGCTTGAGAAAAAGACTTACAGTCTGAAAAATTCGGTAGATGAAAAATTGTAATAGTAATTGTTGCTGGCTAGAGAATATGGAGGAAGAGATTTCAAGGGAGCAGTCTTCCACATGTCGTGGCCTTGTTACTTCTTTCTGGGTATCATCAGGGACTACTCTAATTCCTCACCTGGTCAACTGGCTGGCCAATTGGAGCCATGGTAGCCATCATGTAGTCCTGATTTCTGAGGAGAGTAGTTCCTCAGAAAGCTGTGTGAAGAGCTGAGGGGGAAACAAGGGGGTATTGCAACCTGTGCTGGATCCTGAGAAATCTTAGCTACACCAGAGGACAGCACAGGTGATGCAGCAGTGGTGACAGTCATGCAGGGCTTTTGCCATTGTCTTCATCCTACATCCCTAGATTTTTGGACTGATGCTCCAGCCCATAAAGCAAATTTGAGGGAAGGAGGAAGGAAGTGTGCTAGTGGTCCTTTCTTGGTTCCTATTGCTAAGCAGATTACTGCCTGCTATTCAGAACAGGATGGTGTCCTCTGAGACCATCACTTCCATTACAGAAGATGGTACAAAGTAGATAATGCAAAGTATTTCTGAGAGAGAGAAGAACCCCTCCACTGGGTGGAATTTGAAAGCAAGTCTAAAATGCCCCTAATTTCACTGCCTGCATTTCAAGCTTGCAGTTGTAAAGCAAAAAGCTGTGTTAGTCTTTAGCATTTTATCAATTTTTTCTATAATTTCAATAGAACTGAGCCCACTGGAAGTCAGCAAGCTGTTAAGCCCAGCGTGGGTACATTACCTTTCATTCATTTGAGACATACAAGCTCTGTGTCAAGTGGGATTTGTGTAAATACATGCACAGATTCCTCACCTCCAGAAGGTTGCGTCTAAGAAGTTGTTAAGTTCATTAAAATGGCAGACAGAAAATTGTGCTCCTGTAGTTTCCATTTCAATTATTATAGAGTGTACAACATACTAAATCTACTGCAGTTTAAGACAAAACTTCTATTGGTTCAATAGGGCCAAGATGTCACAAAGTTAATTCCCTAAGACTGCATAAGACCTGAAAATTGTCTCAGAACAGTGACTTCAATGGAGTCTGGACCTCAGGAAATTAAACTCTCAGTTGGTTCAGAAAGGCAAATTTTGTGCCTTACCAGAAAGATGTTCCTAATAACACTGTTGTTAGAACAAGAAACATTGCCCTGATACACAGAAAACGTGCTTGATTAAACAGCTAATGTGATTCTTTTTCTGTTGTGCACATAGAGTTTGGACATCACCAGGATAAACTGGATAACTTTTCTTTCTCTAAAGGCAGTCATATATGTTTTCAACTCCAGCAGTACTTTTCTGACCCACAAGACATTGAGGAAATGTCTTTTCTGAAGTAGTATCATAGTGAAAAGTGACCATTTGGGTTATGTGGAGAGAGCAATGCCAGGGTAATGTCATAGAGAGGAAAGTCTGTGAAGTTGATATGCAGCTGTTGGTATCTATTAATAAAGATTGCTTCAATTCAAGCAGTGCCCAACCATAAAGTACCTCTTTGCCTGTTGTTTAATTAAGTGCTTGTTCTTGGATTAGATTATTTGAATACCTAATCAATGATGAAACAGCAGAACAGTATCTGCTGATATAAGGAAATTTTGAAGAGGCAGATGAGAGCTGCCTCTCTTTTTTAATGGTCCAGTGAGACCACAAAGGATTTATTTTTCTTTGCCAAGGCCAGGAAATTATAAATGTACAACATGAAAGAAAAGGCAGACAGATCTTTCAACAAGTTGGCTTTGAAAGCAAGTTTGTTACCAAAAATTTGTTAAAATAAAAAACTCCTTAACACCATTGTAGCATTAAGAAAAAGGCATTCTTTATTCAGCCAGATGCACAGGGGAATAGCTCCTCCCATGGTACTGGAAAGTTTCTGTTTGTATACTGTATTTTGCTTAAATATTCATTGATTGTCCTGGACTAAACATACATATGATAACAATTTCCGTGAAATCATTAACCATAATTCCCCTCCCATTTATGCAGGCGTTCTTCTGTTTGGGGGTCTCCCTGGTGGTCCCTGGTGGTTGTAGACCCCAATGTTCCAGGTCACCTGGCTGAGTTGGCAGGACACTGAGGCTGGTGAACTTCCAGTTCTTCTTACACCTTGGGCATTGTGCAGTTACCACAGACCTGTAGTTTTGGAGAACAAGCATTGTGTTAGCTCACCAAGGCTAGGCCATTTATCATCTGGTAACAAGTTGAACTGAACTCTCTTTTCTCTACATCAAGTCTTATTCATTAAAAGTATGATGCCTGTTAAAGCCAAACACCATGAATTTCCAGCCACAAGCAAACCTCAGCGAGGATCTTGCAGAAGAGTAATAGCAGGGTCCCCACTTTCTACAGCCACTGTCACAAACACTTTTATGTATGTGGAAGGAAGACCAAAGACATTGTGAAATCAGCAATATGAGTCCCTGCTAAAGGTGCTCCCGTGAAAGTAAATCCAGCCATTCAGTTAAACATTTGGATGCACTTAAAAACCCCAAATAAATGCTGCAGGTGCATTTCTGTAAAACCAGAAGGGAGGAGAAGTTTATTCCCTTCCCCTCTCCCTCTGCTGCCCTCCTCTGGAATAGTACTTTTATGACTTCCCCATTAGAGCAGCAGGAAAAGCAGATGACGCTGTTAGAAAGATGCAGGGGGGGGGAGGGTCGACATATGCCATTGTGTGGCATCTAATATTCAATTATTTATGTAAAGGGAAACAGCTCCATCCATTTAGACAGCTTGCATTCATCCAGACCCCGTGACGCTCCACAGTCCTGTCTGTAAAATACACACAGACTTGGTTTGGGATTTGGTGGAGATGGTATGCATAGAATGAAGATGGAACTCCATTTCCTGGGGCCCCTAGGAGCAAAAAAAAGAAGAATGTCTCTCTCCATTTCATAAAAATTATTATTATTATTATTATTGTTGTTGTTGTTATTATTTCTAACGATCTACAACCTATCTGAGAGCCAGGCTTTGTGAACACAAATGCTGAGCAGGCAGGGCTGACCACTATTTTCTGAGCAGCCAAGACTTGTTCTCATTCCTCAGCCAGCACACGCTTTGCTCCATTTGGCACAGGGAATCCTTAATCAGAATCCTTAGTCCAGAATTCCTTAATCAGCATGGGGAGATCTGGGAAATCAACCCCTTGAGGTAAGTTGTCTGCTGTGAATTTGACTGTGCATCTGATTTGAGTCATTTATTGCCTCTTGTGGGGTAACATATGAGTGGTCCCTATGACCTGCACACAGGAATGCACAAAACAGACTGGAAAGTAGCTTCTTGCTCTAACTTAGCTGGGTTGACTTGTGCCAGCAATAATAGAAAAAGCCATCAAAATAATTTTAGTTGTAAAAGCTGAGCTTGTCTGTACTTCTGCAAGGAGCATATGTATTGATTAAGATAAAGGCTAATGAGGAATCTATAAGACCAGAAATAAATGCTCAGACATTTGTAAATATGTGCAAATCCATTTCTCTCCTTTCTAAGTATTTTTTATTCATTACACACAAAATTTACAGTAGTCTTACATAGTGAATCAGCACTGGAAAGATACTAGCCATCCCTTATTTTATGTAAAATGACTTAATTTAGCCAGGAGGGGAATGGAGGATTATTTTTGCTAATTAGTTCTGAAAATCATTCACTTAGACAATCACTGACTCTTTTGGGCTTAACGGGCAGTGTGAGAGCAATGCTACATCATTCTTCTTGAATTTCTACAGGGTTCATAAGAGCCCAGATATGAAAATTCAGCTGGCTGCATCTATGTCATGGCTGGCCTGGTTATGGGCACTTCTTTATATCTTAGCAAAATATAAATACAATGTCATGATTGAGAACATCAGGACTTCTTCCATCTCATAAAATTAGGAAGAGGGAATAATTTTGTTAGTTATTGAATTCCAGCTGCTTAATTAGTGTTTACAGTATCTCTCCTTGAAAATAGCCATGTGTATTTCATTCCCTATTTGCTTGTTTAATTTAATTAAATCAATTGTTGCACACCTGTTTCCACTTACTTAAAACGAGCACTATCTGCAGCATATCAAATACGAAGCAACATTGAAAGCAATTAATATTTATCCTTGAAATGTTTATTTTGGAATGGTATTATTAAGACCCCACATAAAATTAATCAGATATCAAGTTTATGCCTTAAAACACCAATAGATGCATAACCTTCTTTTGAACAGTGCAGGCAGATTTGAAGAGGTAGATGCACAGAAACAAGTAAGACATCTAAAACATTTCATAAGAGATTGCAGAAAAACCTTTTCTTTCCCTGAAAAGTGATGCTCTGTTAATGAATGCTGGAAGAAACAGCTTCAGAGGACCACAGACAGGTATTTCTTAAGGTATAACAAAGAGAGAGAGTTTCATCTTTGATGGACCTTGTGTCCAAGAACATAAAAACCTGTATGCCACTTATATTCCTAATAAGATATAGAGTGACACAACTAAGTAAATTCCTAAACTCTCTGCTTATTGGAAAAATCTTGAACAAGGCTCAAAACCATAAGGCAATTAAAAAAATATCAGACGTACATTATCTACCCCTTCCCCACCCACCACTTTTTCTTTTTCTTCATTTAATGATCTTTGTGGGGGTCTTGAACTACCCTGACATCTGCTGGAGAAGAAACACAGAGAAGCACAAACAGTCTAGGACGTTCCTGTTCCATCAGTTGTCACTGATGACAACTTCCTGACAGAAGTAGTGAAGAACCCTAGAAGGAATGGTGTGCTGCTTGTCCTTATACTAATAAACAGGGAAAGCATTGTCAGAAGTTGTAGGCATGCCTTTTCTCCCAGACAACTAGCAGTAGGACAAGAACATAGTTTTAAGGTGAGCAAGGGGAAGTGTAGTTTGAACATTAGGAAGTTTTTTTTCACATAAAGGGTGATAAAATATTGATATGAGCTGACCAGAGAGGTGGTGGAGGTATTTAAAGAAAGACATGATCTAGTTGACATGGTGGTGTTTGGTCATAGGTTGGACTTGATGATCAGAGGTCTTTTCCAGAGTCTTTTCTACTTGGCTCTATCAGATGTGAAGGCTGGGGGCAGCCTAGGATGTAGTGACCATGAGGCTGTGGAGTTCAGTACAGGCAAGGAAGAAACAGGGCAGCAAGCAAGATTATGAAAATGGACTTCAAGACAGCTAACTTTAAACTCTTCAGGGATCTCCTAGGAAGAATCCCATGGCAACAGGCTCTGCAGGCAAGAGGGATCTATGAGAGTTTGTTGATTATTCAAGGATCATATCCTCCAGGTTCAAGAATGATGCATCCTGATGTACCAGCAAAGGGAGCAAGTGGTCTGCATGATGAATAATCAAGCATAAAGAGGAAGTGCACAGGAGGTGGGAGCAGGAACAGGCCACACAGAATGAACATAAAGAGGTTGTCAGAGTAACTAGAAGTGAGACAAGAAAGGCCTAGGCCTATCTGCAACTAAACATGAACAAGGATATCATGGACGACAAGAAGGGCTTCTTCAAATACATCAATAACAAAAGGAAAACAAAGGAAAATATGGGCCCATTACTAGATGGAGGGGGGGATCCTGTTAAAAACGGAGAAGGCAGAGTAACTGAATGCTTTCATTGCATCAGTCTTCACTGACATGAAAACCCTCTGGAATCTTTGACCCAGAAGACCAGGGTCAAGGAACACTGGAAAGAAAACTTTCCCTCTCTCAAGGTGATTTGGTTAGAGAACACCTAGGCACATTTAATGTCCATGGGTCCTGATAGGATACACCCACGAGTGCTAGGAGGAGTAGCCAATACCCAAGAGTGTTGTGCTGACATTCAGACAGATCTTAACAGGTTGGAGAGAAGGGCAGAGAAGAACTGTCTGAAGCTCAGCAAAGACAGATGCAGAGTCCTGCACCAGTACAGGCTGGAGGCCAAACTGCTGGAAAGCAGCTCTGTGGAGAAGGACCTGTGGGTCCTGGTGGAGAACAAGGTGTCCATGAGCCAGCAGTGAGCCCCTGTGGCCAGGGCAGCCAATGGGATCCTGGGGTGCATTGGGAAGAGCAAGGCCAGCAGGTGGAGGAGGTGATCCTGACCCTCTCCTCAGCCCAGGTGAGGCCTCATCTGGCTGTGGTCCTTAACCTCTTTGCTCATCTGTGATCCTGACATGCTCATAGATGTCCTTGGAAAGATGAACAATTGAATTTGTTTACCTGGATTTCTGAGCAAGGTCTACATCAAGTTGTATATTTCATTGAAGGAACTCTATGGACTGATTAATCTACACATAGAAGAACTTTTGTTGAGTTTCAGGCCTTCTATGTCCATTGCACCTGCTCAAGTGTTGTTCTCTTTCTGCTTTTCTTCCCGTGTCTGGCCCTTGTTTTCAGATTCCTCTATCCTATAACATTTCCTCATTGCTGCTCACAAGTCCTTTTCTTCACCTCCCATGTGGATAGTAGTCAGCCCAGCTGCTGCGTGCTTTGGCAGCAACTGCTAACCAGTGCCAGGAGGGGCTCACCAGGCAACAGCTGGATACCACCTCACGACATCAAAAGCTACCAGCTCCCAGAATGAGATCTCTTTGGCACCAGCTGCTTCAAGTTTCTCCAGACACCTCACTCCAGCTGCACTCCACTCTGCTACACACACACACACACTTGCTCCTCTGTGGACTAGCTCGGGAGGAAACCCAGTTCTGAGAAGAGTGGTTGTCACATTTGTCCAGCCTGGTTTGAGATGACTCAGTTGCCCTTGCTTCCACTTCTCTCTTTGTTAAATGGGACAAGGATGTGAGGAATCCAGGCTACTGTGCTTCCAATATGCTGTGCTCTGGTTAGAGGAACCCTAGATCTGGAACAACTCTCCTGAGGTAACAAGATCATTATTGTTATTCCTTGTAGATGAAAAATTAAGGACAGTGAAGCCCTTATGCAGGACATTACTAAGGTGTCACTAATATAATTGATTCTAGCTTTCTAGTAATTAGGTTTTTCTTTTTTTTCCCCCAAGCGATTATAACTATTTACTACTGTCCATAATTTCTTTCTCTGCCAGTAGCTTAGATAAACGTCTGTGAAGTCCAGGCAACCTTTAAAAAGCTAATTTACCAGCAAGACAATACTTGACTACAGACTTTCACACACCATCCCCCCCCACCCCCTTATTTCACCATAGTTTACAATAGCTTGTCTGTTGTAAAAGAAACTGCATTTGTTGGGAAAGGTGCACATTACAGTACCTTCACAGACTGGGAACTCTCCTAGAGTAATTTCCCAAAAATGTGTACAGGGTAATGAAAATAATACTGTGCCATTAATATTGGGGTGAACACCACAGTTTTCTCCACTACCTGGGACTATTGTTCTGCTCCTTTTCATGACTTCTAGAGGTCTGTCACCCTTGACAGACTCTTGCATTATCTAAAATCCCTCTGATCAATACTGACTGCAATTATTCCTGGAGGCAGCTGGGTTATATACATAACATAATAATAATAATAATCATAATATAATATATATATATATAAAATATATATACAGAGAATCCGGGGGGGGATGGTTTGAAATGTTTTAGTTGTCTGTATTTGCAGAAGCCTTTTGCAGATGACAAGGCCAGAGATTTACACTGACATGCAAGGGAAATCTGTGGCAAATCTTCAGGTGAGGTACCAGAGAGCCCTCACACTCCCTTAGGATAAGGGGTGGGGGGAATGGAACAGACAACTTAGCTTCCAACTTTTGATCTTGCCTTCTCACTATTTCTGTGACTTTCCTTACAGACTTCTGTTTTTTAAGGGGTGGAGGGAGAAAGAAATCAGGAAAAGTTGTTTTGTTACTTGCCATGGTAATAAATGTTTTCCCTATCAATGTTAAATAGCCTCAATGGCCTACACCTATGTCTCTCTCACTAGCTGTGATCTGGGCTGGTTGAGAGTGCTTCGTCCACTGAAAGACAATGGAAAACAATGAAATGAAGATGGATGAATGCACCTCTCTAGAGAGGTGAGATCAGTGTTGTTTAACAGTGCTTTAATTCCTGGCAGTCTCAGATGTTGTGATTCTGAATTTTCCCATTTAATAGGAAAATTGCCTTTGTTCATGCTTCAGCCTCTTTTACCCATACCCATTTCTACAGGGAAGACTAAAACCTTGTTTCTGGAGCAGAGAGTTAAAACAGTCAACAGCCTTATAAAGTGACAGTGCAGCTGTTTCTTAAGTAGCAATGGATCTTAATGAAAGTCTGCTCATAAAATTATTACCACAGCACAAAGTAAAGATCCCGACTGATACTAGGTCCCTATTGTGCCAGGCACTCTACGAATATATTAGGAGAGAATAACTTCACTGCAATGAATTTAAAACCTTGTTAGGTAAGACAGAAGAAAGCTGTGCCAGGGATAAGGGTCCCCCCAGGGCAAAGAAAAAGACCCTGATGACAGAAAAAACATATGGTACAGCCTGGAATAAGATGAGGAGTTCTTGTCACCAGGTGTTATGAATGGAGATGGGAACTTAGATAAGTCCTTGCTTTTTGCCCAGGCCTCCAGCAGCAGGCAGTAGCTTTACTGGGGTGACCAGCACCTCAAAACCCACTGTCGTTTGCAAGCTCTTTAACAATGGCAGATTAGGTCTATTACAAAATTAATTTTTTTTTTAATAGACACGAGATTAACAGACATAAAACTTTAAACAGACTATTTACTACACCGGAATAAAACAAAAAGAACTACTAGTAGACGACATACACTGCACAATTAAGGTACCTATATTACAGCTATGAAGAAATAGTATAGATTAGGATTCAATGTATCTTACCGTCGAATTGCTGATGGGGCACACATGGAAATCATTTGCTCTCAATTTCCAGAAAAGTAACCATGAAGATGTGTCCACGCTTTGGGCAGAAGCCACCTCACACATTTCCAGGGAGTGTGTGAGACACTTCTACATCTGTGTTAATTTGTGTGACTTTTATCGTTGTAAAGAACAGTGTCTTTTGTCAATGATACTTACTTTTCTTTTATCTCTTCCCACATCTGCTCTCCATACCAAGATGTTGATTCTTGGTCAGGGCTGCAGACGTTTTGGTGTCAGGAGATGACCCCTTGCCTTGCTGGACCTTTGACCTGGCCTGGGTTATCTCTTCCATCTGCACCAGCCATCTGTGGTAGAGAGAAGGGGAGGATGTCCTGCCACATCAGGCTCCTTGATAGCCTTAGAGCAGAAAGCTCTATCTATCTATCTATCTATCTATCTATCTATCTATCTATCTAGCAGCTCACAGCCAGTTTATTTGTATTGCTTGAGTCCAAGATTTGAGACTTTTTGGTTTTTTCAAATACAAATTCCAGCATCGGGGAAGCCCTGGGCCTGACCTGGGGCATGGCATCACCATGCACTGGGATGCAAGAGGGAGGCACTAAGCCCAGATTGGATAGGGCTGGACTGACTGTGCATCTAGCAGGAGGTCAAAGCTATGTTTAAAGCAGATGTGCCCACATTTTTTCGGCTGTTACATCTCCTCTCCTGAACTCTGCCTTCTTCTAAGCCTGTGTCAAATCGTCTTTGGACTTGAAGTTGTAAGGGGCTGAATTCTCAAGATAGTATTTTTCTTGGAATGTCATGGCAGCATTGACAACAAGGCAACTGATGCATTAACATGCCAGATAGGTTTTGATGTTTATTCATGTGATGCTCTCAAGGGTTGATTGAATTGATGCCTGATATGACAACTAATGGGAGCTCTTGGCAGAGTACCTTAGATTAATTTCCTTATTATCTGGCTAGATTTTATACTCTTTAGCAAAATCAATATTGAAGGTGGTGCACAAAACTTCAGAGTTTAAAGATTTATGGGGGCACAGAAAAAAACAGTAAAGGCAAAAGAAGTAAAACCCAAGTTACACAAATTGCTACTGAACTAAAGTAGGTAAAGGCAATCATTTGGTTTTGAATTTTGTGTCTTTGTTAGGGACTAATTTTTAAATTTACCTTCCCCCTTCCTGTCTCCTTCCTTTCCTCCCTCCTGCTTTGCTGAGGCTGCACGTTGCCCTTGCACTCTAGACACTGTAACCAGAACAAAGAAAATGCTAAACTATTTCTTTAATAGAGAGTTAAAGGCTTTCAGGAGCTAGTAGAGGCAAAAGATACTGAGAGAGCAAGGAGAACACTGCTGTAACCCTACGTGTCTTATCCTTTTCCATACCTGGTCTGTTATATATTGCATGGACCTTTATGAAGCCTCATTAGACCCGTAGAAAGGGCCAATGGGTCTACCTGTTTTAGTTCTGGAGAAGTAAAATGGGGAAGAAAACATAATTTTATTGAAATACTTCCATTTCTTTACTTTTTAATTTAAAAAAAAAAAAATTTCAGGGGTCCTTCAGTGCCACAAGGTCACTTTTCTTCAGATTTCAAATTTGCAAACTGCTTAATGTTAATACTTTTTACAAGTAATGTAGCTTCCCCACTCCTCCAAGATATGAACCTGCAAGCTAATTTGTATTTTAGCTAGCTAGAGCAATTGTGATACTCAATCGAATAAATTATTATTTAATCAATTCTTTTGAGTTGTTATTAAGATTGTCACTGTATTTGCATATGACTTGCCCAAAGGGAAACAAATTATAGATTTTAGAATGTTGTTAACAATGTGAGTTTAAATAGATACACAGCTGGCTGTCACATTCACCAGTGCTACCGCTGGACTGTCCTGATCCCAAAATTACTGCTTGTTTTCTTTTTTCTCCAATCTTCAACAGCAGCATTATGAGGTATAGTCCAGTCATCCCTGTAACATGCTTGGAGGAGTTATGAAATGAAATACCACTTGTACTCTAGGATTATTCAGAAATAAATACTTCCCATTACTATGTGTTTTTATTGCTATAAGATTGTGGCTTAATAATTAAAACAGTGTTGAGGGTTTGAAAGGTTTTCTAGCTATACATGCAAATACGTGTGCATTAACAATATTTGTGTCTAAGTGTTGCATACAAGGGAACCCTATACC